TTCCATGCACACCAAAATTGAAACTTCAGCACAAATACACGCGCTTGTGAGAGTAACAAGTAGGAAGTGTAGTGAAGACACATCAGGATGGACAGCAGAGAAGACCATGTCCTTCTAGTCCATAAATGGTATTGTGCTTTCTACAGTGGCGAAGACAAAAAGATAAGCAGGCTTCTAGTTAGTCAGCAAAGCACAAAGCTACATTTCCACAGGGTCACTGGCAATGGAGACGTGCATTCAAAAGAGCATCGTTTTTATCTCCTGGAAAGATGCTCCAGATCCTCACGATGGATTGGGAACAACCCAAGAGAAGAGAACACAGCAGACAGCTGCTGGCTCTCCTACAGAGCTGAACTCACAGTGAGGGACAACTGCAGTACAAACGCTCAGCGTTTCCCCCGTTCCTGCTGCAGGTGATACCTCACCACTCCTGGCCCAGGAGTTCACCCCGACCCCGGCCTCGCAGGCGGCCCTTGGCCTCCTCTCCCAAAACTCTCCCACCACAGCTAACGGACCGCTGACGTGCAGCACCCGATGCCTTCACGCTGCTGTGCCAAAATTACGATTAACAACAAAGAGTTGTCACCGCTCAACATCCCCACTGGCTTCGATGTCCCAGCAGCGCAGCGCGGCACTGCACACAAGCAGCGTTCCCCCAGGCTGACACACGTCTGTCTCCACCAGCGAACGAAAAGCGGAGGCTGCTTCTGACGGGAGTTCGCACTCGGCGTCCTGAGAGAAACCCGGCTCCCTCCTCCTCCCGCCAGCTGCGAGAGCTCCAGAGCAAAAACCGCCGTTACCCGCCGCCCCGGAGGCGCCCCGGGACGGGCCGAGGGTCCCGAGGCCACCCGCCCCTGACCGGCTTCGTACCATCTGGGCCACCTTCAGCATGCCGGCACACGAGCGGAAATAGGCGCCGTCCAGCAGCTCCGCGTCCGAGCCCGACGACGAGGAGGCGGCGGCCGACGGTGGCGCCGCGGGCCCCGCGCTGCTCACCCCGGTGCGGATCACTCGCGCCCCGTGAGACATGGCTCCGTCCTGCCGCTCCGCTGCTCTGCCGCGGCCCGGACCGTGAGAAGGGGTACGGGACGGGACTGGGCGGGGCGGGGAAAGAGGGAGGGGAAGGCAAGGAGGACGGGCGGCGGCCAGCGGTTGCGGAGGGGCCGGGCGGAGCGAAGCGGCGTACTTCCCCGCCGGCCGGGCGGTGCCCCGGGGCAGCGGGCGGGGCGGGGCCCGGGGTGGCGGGAAAGCGGAGGCAGAAGTTTGTCGGCAGTGTTCTGCGGCCGAGACGGCTCGGAGCTGGGGGGCGGCTCGCGGCGTCGCCTCGCGCAGCGCGTGTTTGCACGGATAGGAGAGCGCGTCTTCCGATCCGCCGCGGCCCAAAGGCAAAAGGTTGTCTGCAGTGGGCGGCAGCAGAGGGGTTGTAGCGGTGCCGGAACGGCTCGGCTCCGCCGCTGGAATTCAGTCACGCAGAGATACAGTTCGGCAAAGGAAGCTCTACGTTTCCTCAAGGTTAAAAATAAGCGGTTGTGCTTTCTGACAGGAGGGTAAAAACGGCCCCTGAGCTTAGTATCTGTTGCTCCTATAGAAACATCATCCTCTCATGTTTTGTTCTGCAGTTAGAACACGTTTCATTCATATTTAATATTAAATATCGCCCTCAACAACGAAGGCTGCTGTAAAAGTGTAGACAGGTGAGATCAGATGATGCCCAGCATAAGGAATTGACGTGAGTGAGCTGGGGTAGGTGAGTGTAAGCAACCATAGAATCGTAAGTCCTTGGAGTTGGAATGGGCCTTCAGAGATCACCTAGTCCAGCTCCCCTGCCTGAACAGGGACACCACAGCTAGATCAGGGTGCCGGGGGCAGGATCCAGCCTGGCCTTCAAAGTCCCCAGGAATGGTTCATCCACCACGTCACTGGGCAACCCATTCCAGTGCCTCACCACCCTCACCGAAAAAGATGTTTTCCTTACATCTAACCTAAGTCTCCCCTCTTTGAGCTTAAAGCCACTTCCCCTTGTTCTATTACCACAGACCCTGTCCCCTTCTTTCCTGAAGCTTCTGATGGGTTGACCTTACAGATAGAATTGTTATGGTTGGAAAAGATCCCTAACAACATCTAGTCCAACAGTCCACCTAGCAAAAGACCAAGCAGTGCACTTTGTTTTCAGTGAGGAAACCTACTATCTGCAATAAAAGGCAGTACCTCTCCCATCAAATTTTAACCCCTATTATTAGATATCAAATGTACAACACTGCCAAATCACACAGAAGTAAAATGCTAGCCACTGAGATTTTAAAGCTGGTTTTCTTGTAAGCCTTATGAAGGAAGGTCCTAGTTATCTCTGTACTTCCCATTAAGAAATATGGTTTTCTTTCCCGCTGACTCAGCTGCTGTACTTCTTAATTTCTCATGAATTTCTCATTTCTACCCAGTGCAATAGAAATGCTTTTACATTAATGCACGTAGAATAGTTGTATTTTCCACTCAAGAACACAGCCATCTTCTGTAAACCACTGGCACAAACCCAAGTCTAAAACACTTCTGAATTTCAAGTTTTGATTATAATTCTTCTGCTGTTTACTTGTATCATGGTAAATGATACGATGTGAAATACATGGTAAATGTACGATGATGATGACACACCAACAACTCTTTAATTAATGAAATTTGACGGCCAAAAGTTAACAGCAAATATCCTTGCTCTCTAGCACCTCACATGTCTATGTGAGTGCCTCAGATCTTTTAGAGATACCGTTTGGAACACATTATTTACAATGACAAATAATTTTATTTTGCAAGTTCTCTGATGTTTTTTTTTTTCCTCAATTCTTCTCAATATCTGTGTGTTAAGAATTTTGCTAATGATTTCATTGGTTCCCAGATGTACTTTCAAAAAAAGCTTCTTCCTATCTTATGAACACAAAGAAATGTCTACAGCCAAAAATCTTCCAAATACTGCTTTATGATAAACTACTGCTACGTTATCTTCTTTGTCAATATTAGAACATACGAAAACATGGATCATAGTTGGCAAGTCAGTATTTAAGACTAATGCAACTGGAACAATCAGATAACCTTTTGGAAGCTTTTACCTTTCATTAGGCCTGAAATAGAAGCAGCAACCTTCAGAAGTAATTCTCAGCCTTTACTGATCCCTCCAACTTTAACTAGATATTCAGATTGCTTGAAAAACAGTTGGTAGCTGCAGAAGAGATGAGAAATAGCATACAAAGTAAGATGGCTATCCTTCTTAAGAACAAAGCGGATTAAGTTATGATTTGTGAAACAAAGAAAGCCAAAGATAAAACAAATTCCCACCTAGTACTTCTAAAAATCCAGCAGAATTACAAATTTAATTCCCAGACTTGTCCTTGGGAGACATTCTGCACAACTTCCCTTGAGAATTAGGGCTGAAGATTCAGAGAGGACGTATTTTGCCAAAATAATTCCCTAACCTACAACTGTATTTTTTTGTCTTTCATTCTTGGCTTTACTCTAACATGTAGTGGCTGTTTTCTAACACACAATTTACACAATAGTTTTAGGTATAATGGATAAAATGTATTACTCTCTCTAAGCTCATCTCTGTCTTTGTATCTCTATCCACAAGTGTTGTTTGGGCTATGATGTTAGACCAGCCCATCACAGTTAGTTATCATGAAACAGTTATGCAAACACAGCCATGTTCTTTGAACTTAGATATGTACATCAAATATCATTCAAGAAAGATTTTGTCTTACTTCTCAAGCATTTTCACAGATGGAAAATCACTCATGAGATTTTAATTTTGGCTGTTCCTTGTCACATTTACTCAGTTGACATTTGTATCATTTTTCTGCCTTTGATTTTTTTCCAGCAATGGAAAAGAGCATATGGAACTTTAATGACACATTTTGTGTGTGTAGATAAAATGCATAGTTGGTAGCCCTTCTTCATTCTCAGAACTGGATGATATTAGTAAGCAGGAGACAGCTTGACCTTTGTTATGCAGGCCAGATGCAATTTGCAGACAAATATAGGTATTTAAATAATATCTTGGCTTCCCTTGTATTGAAATCCTGTGACTGTGACAGGTAATCAAGAACAAAACCAGGAGATTGAGAACAGAATTAGCTGGCTGCTGATAAATCTTCCTAGCTGCAGGGTGTGCACATAAGGAAGCACACCCCATTTATTCACAGGGAAAAACAAAGAAGATTTTTAACAGTGAGATTTCTCTACTACCAAATATATAGTGCAACAAAGTTTTTGAAGACTGGAAAAGCCCAAATCCCCTTAGTGCAAGAATAAGGGATTTACCACCAGTCTTTTTTACTAGCAGAAAACTTTAAATAATCACAAAATAATCACAGTCTTGCTCTTTACATAATTCCTGGAAGAGATTCCTTAGGTAATTTGTATTTGAAAGTCATTTGCAAAGGTATTTGTCTTGGAAGTCATAACCTTCCATCATACTTCTGCATAACTCAAAGATATTTAAATATGAGTCAAATTAAAAACTTGATTTGTTAAACTAACAACTCACAAAAGAGGCTGGTAAAAAGGGAATGAGTGAGAAAATCCTTTGTTTCTACTGCTAGGGTCTTGACATTTCTTCTATGGATTTAATCTTCATGTCATTTGATAGCATTTTGAGGCCTACATTTTCAGTATTGCAAACTAACGAACTAGCCTCAGTCCTCAGAGAAGCAAGAATTATTACCTTTAGTACATATTTTATTATATTCTCTGTAAGTTAAACACTGAGCATTAAAGGTCTGTTGTCTAGAATTGTCAATCAAATCTGCTAGATTTGAGAAACCTGTTAAGATAATGTGCTTCATACATACAACTTCTTCAGCAAGCTGTAAGTCTATGTTGTTAATAGGTTTCAAAACCAAACTCACGATTAAAATAGGCTACTGGAATATGTAAACTGACACAACCATCACAATTCTTAATAGCACATATCTGCCTATGAAAAACAGACAAAATAAGCAAACCCCTGCTCCCTGTTTACAAAACATTCAAAGCTGGGTCAATTATTTATTTCTCTTTAAAGCTTTTTGGTATTTTTTTTTTCACAAGGTCACTTTGTATACATATAATATCAATCTTACTTTTGATTTGTAGCATTCATTATCAAAAGCACAAAGGTGACATTTAAAAAGTTAAATTTACAAAACTGGCACATAATCTGAGTGAAGTTTATTAAAGGTTTAGTTATAACATCTATACAATGTCTAGAAAAATACCATGTTAATTTTAAAAGAAGCAGTATGAAATTTTATTATACAGTACAAAGTCAGTGTTAGATGTCACTAAATATGATATCATATTATAAATATTCATTTTAATCTAAGTTTAAATATATTTCTTCAATTACAACAGAAGTGTTCCAGAAGATCTAATCCTTGTTCCAATCTTCCATCAAGAAGAGTATAATCCTCAAGACATTTTATTCTACAGAATTCATTTTAACACAGTTTTTACTGCAAAGTTCTTGATCGCCACGATATAAAGCTAAAATATGTATTTCCAGCATAGCAGGAGGCAACCACAAAGGCAAAGAACTGTGGAGAGAAGAGTAAAAATATATGTCAGAAAAATATTTGAGAGTGTTCTCATTCATTTGAAAAATTAATGATGGTATTTGGATGAAAGCAGCGGAATTGCTAAAATGGTGGTCTCTGGTCTTCTTGTACTTGGGTTGCCATCGCCGTCAACCTCGTTTAAATAAACTTTCTGTAGGAATATGGGCCTAGAAGCAGCTAAAATATAGACTATTTCAACACTTATCTCCACATCATATTGCCTCAGAAGGGATCCTACAGACTGGATGCCCACCAACCCTATACTTGCAGCTTTTAACTTCAGTTGTTCGTAAAGACCAAGTGACACTGTGAGCTCAAAATAATGCCCCCACAGTGCTGCTGCTGCATTCCAGGAGCTGCCTGAAGGCCACCTGTGCCTCAGTGAGGCACACTGCGCATCCAGAGAGGTCATTTAGAGCAAACCTAAATTCAGAATTCAGGCCCAGGCATATTCTCAAATGATAGTAATTCCAGTAGTCCTCTATTAATGAATTCATTTCTCAGTGCAGAGAGTGGCAGCAACCTCATTAAGATATCACTACGTTATCAGAAAGTGACTGCAGAAGAAGTCTTCTATAGCAGGCTAGATTTATTTTATATTTGAAGATTTTTAGGAACTACAGAATATCAGTGGTGTTTGAATTCCTTACTGCATATGCAGCCAGAAGCAAAAGAACAGCTTTGAACTATTTCAGTTATACTGATAAAGTCCAATTCAGTGCCAGTGGTTAAGTTCCTGCTAATCACTGCATGTTGTTCAAAATAGCTTATGATAAGACCAGAATGTTTTGTGCTGGTAACTGAACCAAATAAAGCTGACATTGCAAACAGGGCAAACACTACTTTTCTTGGAGTTTGGCAGTGGTAGAGACAAGAGGGAACAAAAACAAGTTACAATAAGGGAAATTTCAATTAGATATTAGCAAAGAAAAAAAAAATCACTGTGAGAAAAATCAAATATGGCAATGTGGCCTTGAGGCATTTTGGAAAATCCATCCTCAGAAATGTTCAAAACTCAAACAGACAAGGCCCTGAGCAACCTGGTGCAAGCTAACCCTGTGCTGGGGGAGGAGAGGTTGGACCAGATGATCTCCAGAGGTCCCTTCCAGCCTAAATATGTTTTATGATTCTAGTAACACTTCTCGCTTCTCTCAGTGGCCCAGGTAGGCACTGCAGTTCTGAGAGCAAGGCACTACTCGGCATATACACAAGGCAGTAAATCTGAGCCTTCCAAAGATTTTGGGTGAGCCTTATCTCATGTGAATTCAATCCGTGGCACAAAAACTTGTAGATGATGATATAAAACCTGGTAACAATAGAAAATTCTAACATTCTCCTTACCAAAAGAATGTTATTTCTTAGAAACTAAAACCTCCATCCAAAATCTTCCCAGTAGAGAAAAGATATCGGAGATGGATGATTTGCTAAATTCTCACGAACATATGTCCATGAAACACTTAATGTGTACAGAGAGCACTATTAAACTACATTTAATAGTTTATTTAGACAGTGCATTAGATGAACATTATTAGGAGGTATTAGAAGAGATTCCAAATATCCCATGAGCATTGGTGCATTTTGCATAAAGCATGAGTCAGCATGGAAGATTATCGAGCAGCAAGCGAGCTCCTGTCAACCACTGGCTGAGAAGCAGATCAATAATTACAAACTGCCAAGAGGTGAAGATCCTGAACACCACTGAAGTGACAGGGACATAGTTACATCATTCCCGAGATAAAAACAGAGCAGGTGTTCAGGTCTCTGTGTTCATCACTGTGTAAAATAAGCTTCAGGCAGAAGACAGAATTTGTGAATAGTCCAGAAAGGACAACTGCAGATGCATTAACCATCAGCAAAGTAGCTGTAATTCAGAGTTACTCCAGTACAATTGAATTTGACTGCTGTTACCAAAATGCGCAAAGTTCTTCTGCAGCTCCTTTAACTTAGCTAGAGAATACCTTCACCTAATCTGGTCCTTATAAAATTTAAAAAAAATGTTTTTTTTTACCCACTTTGAATGCTTTGGACTTCCAAATCTAAGTAGAAAGTCAGTAATGTCAAAAACAGTTGGAAGTTACATGATTTTTCAAGTGTTGCCCAAGATTATCAAAAGGTGAGCTTGGAAGTCACTGTAGGAATGGTGGCACCATTTCAAGGCCTTCCCACAGTGCTCTGTGCATGGCTCAGCCAACAAAAATTAAATGCACTTTAACCACATCAGTGCAAAGTCAGTTGGGTTAGTTTAAGCTGCTTTGGAAATTGTGTGAGCACACTGAAGTAACTTTGTGTTCACCCAATTTGTTCACTCTGAGGCAGAGGCCGTAACTTCTGCTAGAAAGCTAGTAATGAATGGAGGCAGGGAGGGGGAAACAGTCTGATCTTAAAACCATTACAGCCTTTGCAGCTGTGACTCATCTCCTGGTTGAATTCCTAGTTGCCTTCAAAACCTATAAACTAAATTACAGTTATTAGTAGATTTTGTGTGAGTCCCTACTGCAATCTGCAGCTTTTTGAAATCCAGAATGTGTGCATTTCAACCCTCACATCCAGACAGGCATTGTTTGGTATCACTTTGTTAGGCATACAACTGTGACTGAAACAAAAAATGAACTCACCAAAGAAGCTGCCCAACTGTTGTAATTGTGACTGTCCAGTTCTTTGGTGACTGAAGATGCATCTACAATGGCGGCAATGAGGTACAAAATGAAGGCACTCCCATTAAAACACAGACCCTGTTGAAAAAGAAATCAAATTAGCAATTCATATGCAAAAACATTTGTTACCATTTTCTGTTCCAACATTACAAAAATCTCCTCTGAAACACAATGTGTACATCCAATGTACACACAAAATGTGATTCTCGATGATTTTACCCTCTTTTAACTTCCTCTCTGTAAGATTAGAATTTAATTGCTTATTTTTAATATTCATGAACGTTAGAGCACATTTTGGACCGATTGCTCGTTCCATCAAACTAAATACTGAAAAGTTTAATTTAAAGCCAGGTACTCTGATTTTCCAAAACTGAAAACAGGTACACAGATTGCTTATTGCAAGCTAAATATTAGGCAGAAAGAATATGAGACTACATGAAAGACAAACAAACAAACAAAACCCAACCCCCCATCTGCAATATTTATGGAACTTCCACAACTTTGTCTTCACTTTTGAAGGAAATAAAGTGGGTACAATTTTTTTGGTGAGTATTCTTTCACCATTCAGTAATTTTCCCTTCTGCCTGTTTCTGAGAGAAGAAAAAGCAAACAAACCACAACATAAAATGAAGGAGGAGAACACTCTGAAAGGACTACCTGGGTCATTGAAAGACCCATCTGTGGCAGACACTGCATTTTTAATTCCTGGGAAAAGAGTGAATGTCTCAGGGAATCTATGCCCATTACTATGAATGAAGCAAAGCAGATGACCTTCATCTTACATAAAACTACAGAGAATAATCAAGGACAGTTTATTCTGGTTTTGCATGTCAGAGGCAACAGGAGGGCAAACATCTGAGAAAAGGCAAACAAAAAGGTATGCGTTTATATTTCTTTAAGTAAGTAACTTGAATACTTTGACATTCATTACTCATTGCTTGCTCACGGCTAGAGGAAATTCATTCGTGTTTAAAAAAAAAATCCCCCAAAACTCCCCCTGCTGCTTGTCTAGGGCATATGAATTTGGCCATAAAATACACTTGCAGTTCAGATGTCAGTGGAATACCCATGACACTCTTTGTACCTAGTTACAATCACAGGAATTAGTAACTGAATTTAGACAAAGCCCTGGTGTTGTACATGGTCCCCTCCATTCAGCTTCTGGCTCTATGTTTGCACCTCACAGCATCACACACATATCATAAGCCTTAACTCTGTTGTCCCAGTTGTCTCTGAATGATGCACACTGGTGCAGCTCCAACTTATTCATTTCCATGGTGTGACCCAGTAGATGCTGGGGATGTACCTCAATTGTTCATGACTGAATTCACCAATCATGAACTCTGTCATGATCTAAAAAAAAGGAGAGAAATTCAGAAGGCACCCGTGTCTGTCTCAGCAACTCCCTCAGTGCACCAAAACACAGGTCAGCACATTGGAGTGATTGGTGTGGGAGCTCCTCACCTCCTTCTCCTTTGCTTCAGAAAGACCTCAATTCAGACTCGGTGGAGCCTGGCTCACTGCCCCACATTCTAATGACAGACAGGGTTCAAACCTTCCTGAAGGGAAGCCATTCCCCAGAAACTTGCTTTCTCAGCTACAAGCCCTTCCAGAGAGCAGCATGTTGTGCTGTCATCTGTTATCCACTCAGTTTATGAGAGGTCTGACCAAATTCATGCAAGCTGAAGAGAATTCACATTCTCCTGTGGTTTAAGTCCTTGCAGCTTCAGGACATTTGGAAAAGACCCACCTACCTACATTTCTGCAGAGAACACAGGGCAGTGCCTCAGCACTCGGCTGAAGCCCAGCACAGGGGACTTGAGGTTTTATTCACACACTTGTGAGTGGCTTTTATCTCGCCTGTAGCAGCTCATCTAATAAAATATAGTATCTCCTTGTACAAATCACCTCTTCTAT